AGTGGTTAATCTAGCCTTCCAGCCTCACCAATTCCCATTCCCAACGCCCACATCCAGGTTAGAGAAGGACAAATAGGGAACTGGGATTTTCATCCTCACCAGGAGGTGACAAAGCCCCCCACACAGTACCAGTGGAAACCATGTAGAAAACCTGGACTTCCACACCACCTGGCAATAATGAAGTGCACACCCTCCCTGCTGGGGTGGTGTCAGAGGAGGTCTAGTGGAGAGTCAGAACATTAACCACCTTCTAGTAGTAAGAAGGCCACACATATCCTGTGGTGTCAGTGGATGCCAAGGTGGGGGAGTTTTATCCCCACATAGCAATAACGAGGCAGTGCCTCACCTACCCCTGCTGGAGTGGTATCAAAGAAAGCCAGCTAAACAGAAAGTTTAAATAAGATCCAAAGTCTTATAACATAATACCTAAATGTCCAAAATCAGTGGACTATCACTCATCATATCAAGAACCAGAAAGATCTCGAACTGAATGAAAAATACTATTAATAGAAGCAAACATCAAGATGACACAGATATTAGAATTATCTGACAGATTTTAAAGTAGTCATCATAAAAATATTCAATGAGCAATTACAAACACACTTGAAGCAAATTTAAAAATAGTGTCTCGTCAAAGAAATAGAAAAGCTCAGCAAAGAAACAGAAGATACAAAGAAGAACCAGATGGAAATTCTAGAACTGAAAAATATAATAACTGAAGTAAAAAACTCAGTAGACGGGCTTAAGAAGAGAATGGGAGAGACGGAAGAATGAATTAGTGTGCTGGAAGATACAACAATATAAATTACCTAATCTGAACAACAAAGAGAAAATAGGCTGAAAAAAAAATAAGCAGATATCTAACACGAACATCCTTGGAATCCTAGAAGAGAAGGAAAGTAGGCTGAAAAGGTTCTTGAAGAAATAATTTTCAAAATTTATTTCCAAATTTGGCAAAGGATAGATTGGAGAAGCTGATTCAAACTCTAAACAAGATAAACCCAAACAAATCTATAACAGGATACATAGGTGAACTTCTGAAAATTATGAACAAAAGGGAAAAATCAATTTGAATGACATCAGATTTCTTACAGAAACTAAAAAGGTCATGAAGAGGTGGCCCAGTATTTTCAAGTGCTGAACAAAAAGAACTGTCAACAACAACCCATATCCAATGGAAACATCCTTTAAGAATGAAGGAGAAATCAAGATACTCTCAGATGAAGGAAAAATAAGAGTATTTGTCACTAGCAGACCTATTCTGAACAACTAAAGGAGGTTATCTAAACAAAAGAAAAAAAAATTTTTTTGAAAAGACAAAAAAGAAACCTTGGAACAGCAGAAGGAAAAAGGAATATGGTAAGCAAAAAAAAAAAAAAAAGGGTAAATATAATAGTCTTTCTCCTTTTGAGTTTTCTAAATTATTTTTGACACTCAAAGCAAAAGTTATAACACTAATATAACTCTATAGGGAAATAGTTAAGAAAATTACATATCAATAGGCTTTCTCTTTCATTGAGAGAAAGCTCGCCCCAGACTGTTTAAAATATAAAAGGTCTAAGAACAATCGTATATCAACCAACACTATTTCTTCATTACACCGACATCATTCCCTATTTATCAATTGCTTTTGAGGTCATCTGCATCAAAGAAAAAAAATGATGCAGAACAGGCCATATGTCATCAACACTGGTGACATTTTCTTTTTTGACTGGTTACTGAATATCATGTCATAGTCATAGAATATCATGATGATACTTCTGTGCAAAGATGAAGTCATGGGTTCCAATAATAGAGTTCATTATAGCCAGAGTTAAGAGATTCATGAAAAGCTAGAGTGAGGTCTCTAGCAAACTGTCTTAGTTCTGACTCGTTAAGAATTTTTAAACAAATTACTTAAAGGAAAGGAGACTTTTACGATTAGCAGATATTTTAAAACAAGAAGGGATCACTTAACAAAATGGGTTTACAAATCAAGATTCAGAACAGTCACAGAGAAAAAGCTCAAATCCAACAAGATAAATGGCATCATACAGTATATGTGCTTTTGTATCTTGGACTGAAATATTTAAATTGACTTGCTATACTTTCCCAGGTTACCAGAAAGATAACATCATTGTGCTTCCACTATTTAGTTGCATCTTTGATCTTTCCATGGCCTTAAAAAGGAAATTCAAACCACTAAAAAAAACACTGCACTAATAAATAACATTACTGAAAGGTTATTTAAGTAGGAATACGCTCATATACAGCACAGGATTTCAGGAAAAAAAATATATAAAATAAAATGAAACTTACATCCATGGTTTTCTTGAATTGTAAGCTCTTCTGTTTATGGATAGCATCCATTATAAGCTCTGTCTGTGAAGAGAGAACAGGAACTTTTAATAATAAAAACAGAAATTATTCTTAATATCAACTTATTTAGAAGGCTAAGTGTTCAAGATGGATCATCTCATTTAGTCCTCACACGACCCAAAAGGTAGATGTACTATTTATTATTCCCATTTCATAAATGAGCAAACTGCAGCAAAGAGAGGCTGAACAATTTGTTCAAGGTCTTATGGCTGGTTAACGATGAGATCTACCTTTGAACTTGGACAGCCACCATTGAGAATCACTGATCACCTTAAAGCAGTCTCTTCAGCAAATCCGGAATCAGGGAACTTTGGTTTCAAAAAGGAATCAAAACTTGTGTTAAAGCGCCATTTATATTTTCAAGGGGGTCTTTACTCTGTAAGCTTATGTCAGCACATTTAAATTAAGAATTTATAAACATTCACTTTTGTGGCATCCATCAACGACACACTCTTAACCAGCAAGGGACTCAGGCAGTATGAAAGGAAGAAATGTTTGTAGGACAGCTAAAAGAAGCTGTTCTCTTTGCTCCATCTAATCCAATAAAGGTAAGCTACTCTGTCGAATTCACTTGGGAGCAATTTCTTTGTTGTGGCCATGAGACAGCAATACTTTTATTAGTCGAAGTAATGAAGCTGATAATAAAAGTGTACCTCTCAGACACAAAAATAATAGCTCCCATTTATTAAGCATTATTATGTGCAAAGCAATTTTCATGCATCACAACAACTGAATACTCTTATCCTCATTTTCCTGAGAGTAAATTGAGGTGGACTGATTTATCGAAGGTAACACTCTCAGCAAAATATCCTAGTAGAGTTGGGATTTGAACCCAGGAACCTGACTCTTGTGCCCTTGTTCCTAATTGTTTCCCTAAAGTACCATAATAGTCATGGTAGCTCCCTAAAAGCAAATGAGTACATAAAAGTCCAAGAGACGCAACAATTCAAAATGAGCCATGGCCTTGCTCTTGTGCAAAATGATATTGGGTCAAATAATGATATCGAAAATGAAATTCAAATGTGGTTTCTCTTCTGGAAAATGTAGTTTCTATTACTGTAACACACAAATATATCTTTTCAAGATATCTGGATGAAACATTTGGGATAGTCTCACTTCGAATACAAGCTTTGTTGAATACATGAAATTCTCTCAGGGGAGCCTCAAGGGCTTTCGGAGAACTGAAAGTGAGGACCCAGGAGGTGGCCATGCACCTGCTAATGGTGAAGACACTGTAGACACAGAGAACAGACAGAGCTCCAGCATAATCTCCACATGTAAGGACTCATGGGTAGATCCTCGCCATCACAGACAGGGAGCTATGGAGTTCACACGAGCCCCTGTGTGACCATCTCTGCCAGGAGGAGGAGGTGGCTTTATTTATTTAATAATGGTTCCTGATTTTCTCAGGCTCCATGAAGCAGATCAATTAGCAATGCTGGTCTATCGCATAGTCCCTTCTAATTCAAATATACATACGGCCATTATTCCAGTTTGGGAACTACAACCATTTATAGTTTATGGCCCGAGCCAGGCCTCCTTATCCCTGAGTTTTACATAATGCCTGCTTCAAGCACCTCTCAGATGGCTACAAAGTTCTACCTTGAGCCGGACCTTTTCCCCTCATATCATTCCTCTCTCTGCCTTCAAGGATTCCTGGAATCCACACATCAGCAGGATCCTAGAGAGCAGCAGACTAACTCTCTAATCAGACAGGTGTGACCCCTGGGGCTCTTGTAGTGATACCCTTTGCTCAAGGGCACTCAGTGACACCAAGTCCTGCTCTGCCTACTACACCACTTTGATTTAAGTCTCCTCATATCCATGTTCGCTTATAGGGTGACCCCACCTGGGGTGGCCCCAATAAGTCAGGGTCCTCTTTCAGGTGTCCTTGAGGAAGTCCTTCTTTTAGGACTCAGACTTTTTGCTCAGACCAAAGCCAATGGAAATTTGATTGTTTTGTTTTGATAACACAAAGTAGTGCAAAAACACAATCATCTCTGCTATAGGGTGGGGAGAAGAGGATGGGGAAGAGGAAGAAGAGATTTTTAAAGGATCCAAATGACCCTGCAGTAAATTACTGAAACAGCTGCCTAGGAGTCTGTCTACCCACACTCAGACTGTATTCTGAAAACTGGAAGCATCACTCTGTAACCAAGGAGTGCCTCTCTACACAGGCAGAACATAATTCTGCTGTTATAGTCTCAATCTTAGCTGAGAAGGTAAAATCATGTGGGCATCAGACGAGAGAGTGACTGACCTATGTGCTGTCTCTGTCTCTGTCAGACTTAGACCATCCTGGGTTGGGGAAGGAAATTTGGTACCCTAACACATCAAGACTCCTGGGAATGGCTCCAGAGACTCCTCCCTAGGGGTGACAGCCTCTTCTCTCACTGCCCTGACTTATACTGCCTTTCACTCTGCTGATTTTCGGCTGGCAACGTCAGCCAAAAAGAGTTTGAACAGCCCCCACAGATTAGTTTAGGTGTCCCTGCTTTATTTTATGTTCAAGAGGCACCTTAATCTCCTCTACCATTTAAAGCTCATCACATTTTATATCATGATTACTATGCCATGTCAGTCTCTCTGGCCATGCTCTACACTCCGTGAGGGAAGGATGAGCATATCTGTACTATTCACCATCCTCAGATAATGTTAGTTGTATAAGTAAGTACACCATAAATTTCTGACCAGCCATTCTACCCGTACTTTCCTGCCCCAGTTGACTGAAAGAAATGAACTGATGGCTTCAATTCCAAGAAGTGAAATGGCTTCAATTCCAAGAAGTGAAAGACCAAAGCATGCAGGGTTTGATGAGAGAAAAGGAGAAGTTAACAGTGACACATTTTCCCCCAATTTTTGAATCTTTTTTTTAAAAGTATCTATATACGAAAGTGGTATAACCCAGAGTTAATTGTAATGCAAGTAATTACGAATATATTAATAAATTTTAGACTTCTCCCAGAAAGCTGGAAAGGCATTTTCCTGCTGTAGGAAGCACACCACATAGGCTGTATAGGGAACTTGAATGACGGCAGTGGGTTAAGCACAGGCTGCTCTATTGCCTAACGGAACTCAGAACACATTCTTCTAGCTGTGACAATTTGTTCTTTGTAACTCATTTGGAGAGGAAGTTCCAGAAGCCTTGCAAAACTAACAAAACTCTCTGAGATGACTTGGGCTACCCAGGGCATTTAAAAATGTGAGGAAATGTCTCCCCTCTCTTCTTACTGGAAATCATTTGTGCAGAGAACTTGGTTGTCTAAAGCATTTTGCTTCTCAGAAATTGTAATTCCTTTAGAAAGGTGGGTAGGGCTAGCAACGTCATCCAAAAAGAGTTTGACCATCCAGTGGGTGGGTGCAATATACATATTATTTCAGCTCTGAAAAATACTTTTGGCCAGATGGACCTTTCAGACTTGGTAAATATAGCTTGATTTTGAGTGAAAGCACTTGATATGGTGTTCCTTAAATGTTAGTTTCCACCCTTCCTGCCTAGTAAGAGGCACAGCTATTGTAAAAAAAAAAATGACAATAGAGGGTAAAGCAGTCAGGCTCTTAAGATGCTGCTGCCCACTCCAAATGCGAAGTGGTCACTAAGCCCTGGAATAGACTGACTTAGAACCACAGGCAAAGTTGCTGAGATTGAAGTGTGAGTAGCATCAACCTTAACAGCTGGCCATTTATTGGATACACATTGCAGACAATGACCTTGAGACAGTAAAGGGTCAGGATGAAGAAAGGTTTCCAAAAAGTCCATGTAGAGCTGTCTATGGAGACCTAAGTGCAAATCTTTGGATCCAGATAGGGAAGGGGTTTTCCCCCATATGAAGCTGGGTTCCAGCCATGAAGACCAGATATAAAAAAGAAATTCTCGAAGGACCTTCTACTTGGCTGCCAGGCCAACCAGAATATATAAGTCTTTTAGGAATAAAATAGAAGGGAATCAGAATAGTGGCTTGTCTAGTTAAGTAACACTTGATCCTTATAACTTTCCAAATGTTTTCCAGTTTTGTTAACTTGCTCACTCCCATCTTCTTCCATGTAGTTGGCCAGAATAAATCCTATCGATGAAAAAGAGCCTATGCACATCTGCTTTGAAGACTAAAAGAACTTGGGCTTCCCAGGGCCTAAGTTTCTCTGCTTGTAAAATAAGGAGGTTGGACTACATTATGGTCTCCGAGGAGAGTGTGTCTCCTCCACTCCTTACCCTTCCCTTCCTGCCTTATCCAAAAAGAGACTGGCCTGAGAGCCCGCCAGCTTGGATGTGCTAGACTCTACTGAACAAAGAGGGGTTCCCCTTTCCAGTCAGTGTTTGAATAGTGGTAACAGATATGAAAAGAAGAGGAAAGCAGGCTGGTCCCCTGAATTGTGCCAGAGTTAAAAAAAAGAACTTGCCTGGGGCGTAAGTGGGCACAGAGGCATAACCGTCTAGATGGAATCCCCACATGGTTCCCCAATAAATAATCTCGTAGGTAAAAAGAAGAGCAAGGCTGCATCAGAGTAGGAGCTGAGCCAAAAAGTTTAATGAAAAAGCAAGCCTAGAGTTTTCTGTCGGAAGAAAGGCAAAATCTTAACGTATATGCAAACCCAACCTTTTTCCGTTGTAGCTTTTGCCTTTCCCTGAATTCTTCGATCTTCTTGGCCTCTTCTCTTAGAGTCTGTGCAAGCTGAATGTGGCATTGTGCCACATTGTCTACTTCTGCAAAAATAATGTTAAAAAAATAAATAAACAAGATCTTCATACATTTGAATTCAAATATACATAACTGTACAAAACCTTAAAATATATACAAAATATGGATCAAGTCGTTAAATTAACCGACTGCAGTTGGCTGCCAACATTTATTGAGCCTGCCTATGTGCCCAGCATTGCCCTGGCCACCAAGACCAAGGCTAGCAGATCTTTAATTGAGCCTCCTACCATTAACTGTCCTTAACCCTTACTAAACCCACTATAATTGCATATCTGATCCTTATTTCTCATTAGATGACTTCGAAGGATCTGTAATACCTCATGTGCCTGAGCATTTTTAAGAAAATCGTACACCAAAATTTTGGTTACCAATAGTTATCTCTGGACAGAAAGATCATTATTGATTTTCCCCCTCAGTTTCTAAGATCTTTGCAATGAGCACGACTCACCTCTATAATTGAAATACTAAAATGTTCATCTTACTTGTTCTAAGAAAACAAACTGATGCATTTGAAAAACTAATAGATCTGATCTAAAAGAAAATTTTTTAAGCTGTGTGTGTCAAAATAATACGAACGAGGTTAGAAGATACATGAAAATTGGAAAAATACTTGTAATTTATGTAACAAAGTAAATTGCTGTATTAACAGAGTTTTCACAAATCAAAAGAAATCTATATATTCCAAAATTAAAAGTTGTTTATAGAACATGAAATTTAAAAAAGATTGCTAAATGGTCAATAAAGATTGAAAATATATTCAGCATTAAAATTATTTTTAAAATGCAAAACTTTAAAACCCAGAGATAGACTGTTTTTTACCTTTCAGTTTGGCAAAATTTAAAAAGCATGAAAATTCGTGGTATTGGCGAGCACAGGGAAAAATAGCACCGTCGGTAGGGAAAAAAATCAACACAACCTTTCTGGAAGAAAATTGGCATTCCGTAAAATCAAAAATTTTACATCTAAAAGAATAAGGCAGATCCATATGAACTAAATGGAAAGATGTCTATGATATATTGTTTAACAAAAAACAAATTGTAGAGAAATACGTATGGTATACTCTCATTTATAAAAAATGCCTGTAATGTGTGTATGTCTGAAATTAGAGATTGGGAGAGAGAGACTGAGAGTCGTAAATGCACAGAAAAAGGTCTGGAAAGATATACCAAATTGCTAGCATGATTAAAAACTGATGTTTTTCATCTTAAAAATAATTTTAAAATATATACCCCACCGCACAGATTCTGAAGCACTGCCATGATATGATCATATTTATTTATATGAATAGATACATATGCGTGTGTATGTGTGTTGAATAAAAATATTGGAGGCATGTTCACCGATAACTGCTTCGCACTAAGAAGTGAAAATTCAAGTGTTTACTATCTTCTTCATATTTAGCTGTCTCATCTGAATTTTTAATATAAATAGTTATTATTTTAATAAGAAAATGAAACTACTTGTTGGGAAAAAAAAGAAAACAAGTAGAGTAATGGCAAATATATATGCTTCGGAGACCCAGCTTATGCTGGAGTCCCATTGAGCCACACCACAGTTGGCCTTGTGGTGCATGTGAGAAATATGAAAAGATACTGTCCATACCCCAAGAAATTTATTCATTGATGAAAGAGGACAGAGGCCACCTTCTATGGAAAAGTTAAGATGAATATTTATTTAGCCAACCTTTACAAAGGTCTAAAACCACTTACCTGGCTACAGAAACACTTCAAGCACATGCACATGCTATACCTTGGTAGAATCCTTAATTTGGGAGCACCAAGTATTCTGAAGAACAGAAATCCTTAAAGGTGGTTTTTAAGTAATATTAGGAACGGACAGGACCCCTTGCAAAACAAAGTGCCAGGGCCTCACTCTGGGTTTCATGCGTGAGAACCATTGCTCTAAGGAAGTCAAACACACATCCTGATGTACAGTTATGGTGGGTGCTCAAGCTCATTTCAACTCTGCAGAGCTATTTCTCACCTTAGAGGTTGCTATAATTTCTTTTTTTCACCCAATGAGATTGCCGTTCAAATTAAAACCCACCTTTGATGACAGACCAGAGCTTGCCAAGGACAGAAAACACTTTTTTAAAGAATCACTTACGCTGCTTGAAGACTTCAAGGGCCCGCTTCAGGGTGCTGAAAAACAAGCACATATATAATTTCAGTTCTGGAACTGGCTGTACAACCTTATTATAACACCATTGCATGCTTCTCTCTGCCATGTCTTAACTTAGAGCCTATAGACTCATCTTTGACCGTGAGCTTGAGAAGACAGCAGATCAAGACTTCTTCGGTCCAGCTTCCCCTTTCTCTCCCAATTCCAGGCATAAGCATCATAAATTCTTCTGTCTATCTGGGTTGAGCAAGATGCCAAAAATTCTTCATGCTTCAATTCTCCCAATGATAATATAGGAGTTATGGACCCTTTCTCATGAAAATACCAGCCATTCTTTAAAGTATGGTAATTAGAAATATAGATACAAGCTCATAAATGAAGGGTTAAAATTCTGGCTGCTGATCACCTCCCTTTTCATCCATCACATACTTCTTAAGCATACACTATGACCAGGCGTTGGGTTAGATGTTGGTGATTCTATGGTAAAAGACAGACCTCAGAGTCTAACGGTGGAGACCGACATGAAACACATTATATTAGTGTTCTATTGCTATATAACAAATTACCACAAATTTAGCAGCTTAAAACAATGCACATTTATTATCTCACAAGACAAAGCCATGACTCATATTTCATACCTTTTCTCAATCTCCCCTACTTCCTCTCTCCTATAGCCCATGGCTCCTCCTCCTTAACTCCCCCTTTACCGTAATTTTAGTTCTCCCCATCCTTCCTTAAGTAGACCTCCTTCCATGCTGACTTGGCCCTGGGAATTGCTCATAGCTACCTTGATGGAAGCAAATCTCACTGCGCTTGCTCCAGCCAGTCAAGGAGGAATGGGACTTTGTGAATTCAGGGTCCCCTGGCCACAATAGCACTGGACTGTGGATCATTTTCTATATGTATATATGTATGTGGCAAATTCTGTTATTTTACAAAGTAAAAATCCTTGTATTTTCCAATTGTCCCCTTCTTTTAGCTATTTCACTTTTTTAAGGATTTGAGTCAGTTTAATATAGCTAAAATGGGTAATACCATCTTTAAAATAATGATTTCTAGAACATCACTGGAAACGTTAATACTACAGGAATTTGGGGTTGAATAGCGTAAAAAGCTGTCCCTGGTTCATGGTTTATTATTCGAGTCCTAACTTAGCCTGAGAATTTCTGTCCTCTGAAGTACTGTCACTTAAATTGCATTTACATGAAAATGCTTTCAGCACATCTATACAAGGATGAAATCTTATGTTTCCCTAAAGTTCATGTGGACTAATTTATTAGTCACCTCCTTGGTATCTTCAGCATCACTGAATGAAAGACTGTTTTTCATTAGAATTTAGTATTAACACATTCTAACTACTTGCAGGGAAATTTTAATTTTTTCAGATATTAACTATTTCACTTTTTCCACTCTGTTAATTTATCCCAAAACAAAGGCTTCTTATTTCTGCCTGCCTTTTCTCACACAAACATTTCCAATTATTACAAACATATTAAGAAGGAAAGCACTGCACATTCTCCATATACGTTATCCATCTTATGATACAAGTTTTCAAGGAGCACAGTGCACTAAAAATGTGTCCACAACCAAACACACACATCAATGGTCCAGAAGGATGAATGAGCATCACTGAAGAGGGGATTTATTACTGGAACTAGTAAGAAACAAAGATGGATACGGCAGCAGACACATCTGGAAGTCTTGCCCTATCAAGACTCATGGAGTTGATAATCAAAAACAGATTCACAAATACAAAAGACAATTTGGTGACGGATGGAGGGGAGGGGTGTTGTGGGACTAGGAGAATGGGTGAAGGGTTAAAGAAGTACAAATTAGTAGTTGATAGATGGCCACAGGGATGGGGAGCATGGCATAGGGAATGCAGTTTGCATTAATGTAATGGCTAGGTGGAGAGCCAGAGGAGAGAAAGAGCAATTAGGGATCGTTTTATAAACTGCATAAATGTCTAACTAATGTACTATATACTTGAAATTAATAAAATAAAATTTAAAAAAATAAAAGAGTCATGGAGCTGAAATCCAGCCTTACAGTTAAATAGTCTGTCCAGGGTCTAAAATTTTTCTCCTGTTCTAAGTGACCTTCTGAAGGTCAAGATCCATTCAGTTCCTCATTAGCTGTGTTGTCTCACATTATCACTTAATTGCTATTTCCCATGTTTAGGACATGATGACAATCGTGAGATAGAATCTAAAACTTGGGGGTGGCCGCCTAGCTGTGTCCATTTCCTCTTCTCCCTTGGTATAGTTCTCTATTACTATGCAAAAAAAAATAATAACACTTCCACCAACCTTTTAACAAAGCTCTTTGGCCTTAAATCCTAACAAGGCCCCTTAGAGACCAGAGTCTCTCAATGTGGCCGGTGAAGTGAAAAATCCTACCGAGTTCATGGATAAGCAAAGTCATGTACTCTCATCTAGGGCACGTTCCCTAAAGATCATCCTGGAGGTGACAAAAACAGAATTCACTTTAATGACCTTTCACATCAACTTTGGCAACAGTCCCCAGGTCTCATATCCTGTTGCATCTTCCTCTCTGAGGTATAATCTTGGAAGGAAAATTGTCTTTTATCACAAAACAGAAGAGAATGGTGCTAGAATCTCTATGAATTTACTAAATTACAAATCAAATGTGTAAAAATATAAGAAATACCATTTTGGATCAGACTCATTCTGCTAAATATCTTTCCCAAGAAGTACTATGTGAGAAAATATGGCTATTTTCCATCACATCACCTCAAAAGTTTTTGGATATTTTCCCAAATAGCCTGTGCTTTTTAAAAAAATAAATAAATAAATAAGTAAATAAACAAGTTGAGTTTTTGTTGTTGTTGTTCTTTTTTTTTTTTTTTTGCTGACCCACTAATCTTCCTTGAAATTATCTAAACCCTGCTGGAATGACAATGCAACTCATCTAAGCCTATGCGATTTTGACCAGTGAACATGTAAACGTTTTACACACTTGAAAAATAAAACTAAATCAAATGGGGAAAAGAAAACAATCCTTAAAATTTAAAACAAACTGAAATGAAGCTAATATGAAATTTGTTACATAATCACATAGAGAAAATAAAATTTCAAATGACCTTAGAACGCAGTATTCTGAGTGAGATATAGCCTAAGATCAAAAAGAATTGCAAACAAATGTTAAACATTCAGAAGTTTTATTGTTAGCAGCAATATTATTACTTCGAAACATTTAAATATATGTTGCCATATAAAACAAATAATTATGCTAATATTGTCAGGAACCAAGATTTTCAGTGCAAGAGGAAATAAGTATAAAATTAAGGAAGTTAAGTCAAACTCTTTAAAGTTAAATTAGAATTGGATACGTCAATATGAACTCTTGCTTTTAAAATCTGTCCCCTGAAAAGGTCTAGAAACAGGGACATCTCTATAACAATGACCAACGCTAAAATTCAGAGTTCCATCTCTACAATTAATCACTAAAAGGAACCAAGTAAACTTAGAGAAATTGCTGATTCCAGGTTCAAGTTTAAAGTGTTTAAATTTAAACACTTTCACAAAAAAATTATATTAAGAAAATATAAAAAAATATAAAAACTGTGAATTGTTAAATCTAGATGGTTGGGATATAGCTATTCATTATGTTTGTCTTTTTACTTTTCAGTGTGTTTTTTAAGTTTTTATTTAAAACATAAAAATAAAATATAAAAAATAATAAAATAAAATATAATATAATCAAGAGATTGATAAATTCTCCTTGTACTAATGTCCTATGTCTGAGGGTAAATTTTTAGGCTTATGTGACTATTAATATTTTAAATATCTCCCAATGCTTTCCTCCTTTTCAATAATCCAGTATTTTGCAGTCTAGGAGAAGCATGTTTGTATGCATGCGTGCATGCGTACATGTGTGTATGTGTGTAAGAGAGGAGGAAGGGCAATGTCTTGTTTGCTCCCATTCGGACCTCTGAGGGGACACAGACCTCAGGGTGTCTATGAAGCTGTCTATACTAGCACAGCAAAGCAGCACACAGGTCAGTGTGTGATGTGATTAAGTCTGCAGAGGCCTGCAAAGGTCTGCCAGAACGATTTCTCCCAAGCTTCCGTCAACAAGCTTGTTTTGAAGAAGGAATCTAAAAATTTTCCTATGAGTAGGACCAGCTACATAATTTGTGAAGTCCACCACAAAATGAAAATGTAGAATCCCTTGTTTATAAGTTACTAAGAATTTCAAAATGGTGACGGCAAAAAAGCATGAAAACAATTACGAAGCCTTTTTAAGTGTCAGTTCCTATAGGACTGCCTGTGAAGTCAGCCCTGTACATGAAAGAATGTGTCCCTCAAGCAGGCACCATGTCTGGCCATCTCTGTATCTTCTGAGTATCAATGAATGATGCTAGAATAAATAATTGTGGTATAGAAATCTCACACTGGTGGCAAGAACTATAAAATGGTGCAAAGCTAGCCTCTTGTAGTTATCACAAACTATGCATGTATATGTGCACGTGGAAACCTCTCCATTAAATTTCTAGTATAAAATTATGTGTAATATAATCCAGCCTATGAAAAAGTATACAGAGTGCTCTCAGGTCCTCACTTCCAAGATGACCAAGAAAAGAAGGAACAATGGTCATGCCAAAAAGGGCCTCGGCCACTTGCAGCCTATTTGTTGCACCAACGGTGCCCAATGTGTGCCCAAGGACAAGGCCATTAAGAATTTTGTCATTTGAAACATAGTAGAGGCTGCAGCCATTGGGGACATTTCCAAAGCAAATGTCTTCGACACCTATGTGCTTCCCAAGCTGTATGTGAAACCACGTTTCTGTGTGAGTTGTGCCATTCACGGCAAAGTAGTCAGGAATTGCTCTCATGAAGCCCAGAAGACTGAACTCCCCACCCCAATTTAGACCCTTGGATGCTGCCCCACAACCTCCACCAAAGCCCGTGTAAGGAGCTAAGTCCTTAAGGACTGAAGAAATATTCTCTGGGGAAAAAAAAGTGGAAATTATACTTAAAAAAAAAAAAAGTATACATAGAAAAGGACTTCAAGGAAATTTTAGAAAATATTAATAATGAGTTGTGGCTTCATAGCTCATTTTAACCTTCTTTCTATTTTTCCATATTTTTCACAATTGAAAATAAGGGGGAAAAGAACTATTAAAATTTGTTTTCCCCCAACACACTTTACACTTTACTGGCTAGCTCTGTCTCCTGAAGTGATGGGGGCTCCTGGCAGTATCAGCCAGCACGGAAAGGAGAAAGAAACATGGCACCTACTTGATCTCAGACTGTCCACATGGCTTCTTCCTGGAGAGGCTGAGCAGATCTTTGCCATATTTCTCTTCAATCGATGCCCTAGGGGAATGGAAGAGAGGGTTATGAGTCCTTCTCAGGGCTGATCCTTAGTTAGTTAAGGCAAAACTGCACCTTTAACAGTAGACATCACACAACATCATTCTCTGAAATGCAAAACTCCCTCTCCATAACAGGGAACAATTGTAAAAAGACCAGTGGCCTTCATCTCTAAGGTGGTCTTCTCCAGCTAGAAGTCCCTAGCATGAACATTACAGCAAAACCGAGCATGGCCTCCTGACCAGCACAGACTAGTACATTACAGACTAAACTTTCAAAACTATGGTCTAAGGAGATATGGATTTTTTTTTTTTAGTGTAATATGAGATATTTCTGTCAAAAGCACTCCTGAGACCCACCCCTCCTCCCATCTTCTCTACGCGTACCTTTTTACCATCCTATAGAGTTCCTCATTCACAATCAATTTAAATGCATAGCCAAACTACCAATGAGGAGAACTTCAGAATATACACTGCAGTCAGCATGTCTCACGAAAACAACTGATCATTATTCAGTGTGGCATGAGTCTGTCTAAAGCGCTAAACAATCCCCCCTTCTACCCCTTCTTCCTCTCCCCTTAGCCCTTTGTCATCATCTCCATTTTGTGTCACAGCCCCAGCCATACTATTTTGAAACCATACTATCAAGTTATGGGGCTTTAGGTTTGTCTACCCCACATTTTTTCTTCAAATTAGAAATAAAATTACACAAGTAATAGATAAATTCTCGCTGCAAGAGATTTAAACAATACAAAGTTACATGGACTAAAACACGAAGTCTCTCTTCATGCTCTTCCCTGACCACACTTGTGTCCCCAAGAGTAGCCACTGTTAAGCTTGCTATGGATCTCTCCTGTTCTTTCTCTCTGCATTTACGTACCTATATCCCACATAGACACATATACACAACTTTTTATGGTTACATAATTGAGATCATTCCGTTGTTTGCTATTCTGTTCTTCACCTAATAACACATTGTACAGAACTTTCCTTATCAGTAATACAGATCCACCATGTCCGTAACATGGACTTTTCATAGCTCAGGGTCCCTGTTTGTTTCATTTTTCACTACCACTAAAAAAGAGCTAAATGAATATTGTTAGGCACAGACATCCACAGGCATCTCTGAGAGTGTCTCTCTACAACAGAACTTCTGCGAAAGTGGGTTTACTAGATCAGAGGGATAGGCATTTAAAATTTTGGAAAATGGATGTCAAATTGCCCTCCGAAAAAGTCCTTTCGATTTATACTTCAACCAAAAGTATATTAGAGCTCCCATGCCCAGAAGCCCTCACCCACACTGGATATTAACAATATTTTTAAATTGTTACTAGTCTGAGGAAAGAAGTTTAAAAAAAAGAATCTCATTTTAATTTGCATTTCCCTGGTTTCTAGTGTGGTTGTACATCATTTTGTGTTTATTGGACATCTGTAGTTCCTCGATAAGTTACCTGTTCATATCATCCCAATTTTTAAACTGTTTTGCCTTTTTCCTATTATTTAGTTGTTCTTTATATGTTATGAATATTAATACTTATCCTTACATATGTTACAAACTTTCTCCCATTGTCATTTATTAATGATATATGCTCATTATTCAAAAAATAAGCCAAAAGAAAAATACAAAGAAGAAAGCAACAAACTGTCTCAAATTCTATCAACTAAAAAGAATTGGTATTAACATTTGGTAATGATTGTAATGGACATTTCTTCATGCAAGTATGCAGATAGGATGGATGGACAGATAGATAAGGTGTAAACAATTTTAAAAGAATGAGACCATACTCTCTATGCTTTTCATAAATAGAGTTTTAAGCCTGATTTTCTTTGAATTTCACAGAAAAGGAAACTGAAGCTGAATGAATTGCTTAATTTCCAGTAACTGTTTCTTCGCTACAGGAAAAATTAATTCCTAAAAGATCCTTCTGAGGATCTTTTAAAAAGGTTATGAAAATAACTAAGGGGATTGAGACACTAGGATATTTTAACTACTTGTTTCCATTTTGGACAGTTCTAGACGTTGGTGCACTGGGAAAGGATGAGATCATTAGCACTGTTGGACTTCCACCTCCTCCTTGACATTGTTGCTTACATTATTTTTACTTTATTTGTGTTTATAACACACTGTTCTCTAATGATAATTCCCCCTGGTTGTTTAGTCTTAACTATTAATTAAAATAGATTTGATGTTCACCACCAGTTCTGTTACCATAGCTCATCCATCTCTAAAATTTGTGTTTTAGTTCACTTCTTGGCTGGCAGAATATCATCACTTTGTGGTCTTTTGCCAAAGCAGCTCTGGGGCAGGAGGGAGGTGTCAGTATTTCCTGAATTCTTTCATATTTGAGACTATCTACCTATTGCCTTTATATCTGAATGACAACCTTGCTGGTGTAAGGAATGTTCTTAACCTTTCTCTCAGAACTCTGCTGAACTTTCTCCACTGGTTTCTGTCATTGTAGAGAAGCTTAGGGCCATGATGATTCTTCCCTGCCCATTTTTCTATCGGCAACTTGTTTGTTTTTCCCTTCCTGGACACTTGAAGAGTTCTTTCTTTAATTCAATAGCTTAACCAGGAGACATGTTAATGTTGATTCTTATGTAATCATAATCAATATTGATTACTGCCCATCAGGGTTTCCTGGTTTATAGTGTACCCTTCAGATCCATTTAGTTCTTCATTTCATGAAAATTTTCCTGGTTATATCTCTGAATACTTTTATTGTTGCTTTTGGTAAATTTTGTATTTGAGATCAGTTAACCAGATGTTAGGCTGGCTTTGTCTCTCTGTTGACTTATGGGCTCTGGGTTTTTTGCTCTTTTTGACTTCACAGTTCCTCCTTCCCCTTCCTCCCTCCCTCTTTCACTCCCGCCCACCTTCTCTGCCTCCCTCTATGTCTCCCTCCCTGCTGTCTTCCTTTTTTTTGCTCAAGGTACTTTTGCACGATTGCAGTGTCCTTTGAGTTCATCTCGCTCCTGGTACTGTGGGCAACTCTGTCTATTTGCTCTGAGACTATGCAAGTGCATTCTTCTTCAGGTCCTTCTGACCTTATGTCATGCTTCCCTTCACGACTGTAGTTTGAGCAAGAATCCTGTTTTTTCTTGAGCCTTAACTCTTGGATTCTATTTCTAAGATTTTTGCCAGCTCCTGATAATATGAAGTGAAGCACAACTTAAAGTGACTCTAATTTTAAGAAAGGATACTGTTTAACTCCCTAGAAACTATTTCTATCTTTCTCCATCTCTGTTCACAATACAGTAGAGTCTCCCCTTATCCATGAGAGACATATTCCGAGACCATCAGTAGATGCCTGAAATCACAGATAGTACCGAGTCCAATATATACTAAGTTTTTTCCTATATATACATAACCTTTTCACTCAAAGGAAGCACTTTACAGCGTCTCTTTGGCATCTCCTAATTGCCAGCATCACTACTCTTGTGCTTTGAGGCCATTATTACGTAAAACAAGGGTTACTTGAACACAAGCACCGCAATACCACAATAGTAGATCTTGTAACTGAGATGGCTACTAAGCAACTAACAGGTAGGGATTATATACAGTATGGATACACTAAACAAAGGGATAGTTCACGTCCCAGGCAAGGAGGGGGACAGCATGAGATTTCATCACTCTACTCAGAACAGCGTGCAATATAAAACTTGTTTATTTCTGGAATTTCCCATTTAATATTTTTGGACTGTGGTTGACCATGGGTAAACGAAATCACAGAAAGTGAAACCACAGATAAGGGGGGATTACTGTATCTATTTAAAAACTTACGACACTCTACAATGGCAATTTAATACTTTCACATGTAAAAAGATGCTAAGGCCATTTTCATTAAAATATGCGTGTGTGTGTGTGTGTGTGTGTGTGTGTATTTAAAATAAGCACGTGTTTTCTCCTTTCGGAATTATATTCATTAAGATTTCTCAATAATCTTTTGTGGTTTCCAGGAAAAGAAGTTAATGAATCTCTTTCTTCTGACCTTAAGACACCATGAATCTGAACATACTACTGGCAGCATCTGATCCCCATGGAAAGTCCTAGAACCTGGTAAGTAATGAGTTCCAGCAAGCACACTGGTGTGCTCTTGGGAGAAAGAAAGAGTTTTAACGGAGGTGAACCTACAGCTTCATCCTCATGAAATCAGAGGAACCGCCACGAGATTGAGAAGATGTCTCCCCAGCATATGGGAAGGAGTGAAGTCCAGCGGCCTGCAGCCAATGAAGGAATCACTAGGACTTTGCAAAAATCACCCTGGGAGAGGTAAGCCTTTACCTAGATCACCTTCCTACCATCTATCCAAAATTTCCATCTCATCTGGTCATCAATTTGTCATTTATTAATCATCTACTATGTATGAGGCATCATGTTAGGAGGACACAGAGATGACCGAAACATGAGACCTGCCTAGAGGAGCTCATAATCTGGTGCCAGGATGTAAACTAATACTCTATTTTATTACCAATTAAGGAGGGCCACAATGAAAATGTACAAAATAGCAGAGAAAACAGAAAAGGGATGTCTCCTCCTCTAAGCACTTAACTACTTAATACTTTTTCCACAAAGCCCTCCTTGAAAATTCCAGCTCACTTTTATCTGTCCCCTATTCAAATTCCCAAACCAGAAATACTACTCCCTGTGCTGTTTCCCCTTCAGTGACCCACAGCGAATATTGTCAGATTTGGCCTTTTCCACCAAGCCTGAAAGCGGCCTCAGGATGACCTTCAACTCAGTGCTCCAGGCATCCCCAAAGTCAGTGTGGGCAAATAAGATGAAACCCCTCTGCTATAAAACCTGACACTTAGATATTATGCTCATTTTTACTGTATATGCCAATCACAGCACCTTGACTCAATTATAAATTCCTCGAGAAGAACCACGTTGTTATATCCAGGGGGATCTTACAAAACATCTGATACAATCTTTTCATTTTACAGAGGAAGAAACTGACAAGGAGAAAGGTCTAGGCCCTTGATTATATCACCACGGCTAGT